TCTTGCATGGCTTTCAAGCCTAGTATGGATGGGCCAGATTTGGTTACAATAAATGTACAAGTAACAGTTTTAGAATGTTCATCACTGACTGAAATCTCACAAGAACCAATAACAGGCAATGAGTGTCCAGTGATGCCATTAATGGTGACAGTGGACGGCTGAAGTTTAGCATCTCGAGCAAACAGTTTTAAATCGTGAACAGAAATTAGAGATTCCACACTACTAGTATCCAAAATGAAATGAAGCGAATGACCAGTGGAGCTGAATAGTCGTTTACGGATGCGACCGGAATGAGAGGTAATTGCCAAAGATAAAAAAGAAAAATGTTCGGCCATATCACTCACTTCTGAGTTTCGGGCTTGAATTAAACGACAGGTTTTGGTACTGCGACAAACAGACTGAATATGGCCAGTTTTGCCACACTTATGACATGAAGCGTAACGAAATCGACATGTGAATCTGGAATGACGTTTGCCACAGGATGCACAATTGCCATAGGATTTATCCGAATATGTCACATTGTGTGAGTTAGATTGTGTGACTGGTTTGAAACGTTCGGCTGTAGCATGAGCTTTCGTGGATTCAGCCTTCAGTGAATTGAACATGGCTGTAGATTCAATAGTGGATGGCATAGATGAAGTAGTGGCGCGAATGTCCTGATGTTGTTCACAGTAAGCCAGCACATCTTTGAACGTCGGATTAAATAGCTTCAGAAGTTCATTTTGCAAAACGGTATTTTTGATGCCAGCGATCAGCCGATCTTTCAATTGCATGTCCAGTAAATCTGCAAAATCACACTTTGCAGCTTGAGTGAGCAAATCCAGGATGAATTCACGGATGCCCGGATTCGAATTGCTTACCATGGAATGAAATTTTGCTCGTTCTGAGGCTTCGAAGTTTGTTGGCTTCACATGCTGGAGGAGGAGGGCTTTTAAATCATCATACGGTACGGAAACAGGTGGAGAAGGATAAGCCACGTTTTTGATTAATGTATAAGCATTTTTACCGGCAGCATTTAAAAAGAAAGCGGACTTCCTATCCTCATCGGACTTTGAATGGGTCAACCACCAAATCTCAAAACGTTCAAAATAATCCTCGATATCACGTGCACTGCAGTTAAGATCAAGAAATTCTAGGGGAGTAGAATTCATTGTTCAGTAGACCGGCCGCGACACCAAATGTAGTATTTGGAACAGTATTCAAAATGGAATTCCAGAATTCGCGCAATACCAATCTCCGAAATAGAACAACTTCAAATAGAATAGCACAGGAACTTTATTCGAATCGTATACTATGCATATTTAATGCATTTAAAGTGTACAAGGAATTTTGAGGTCAGTGTCACACATCACATTTTCTCGTCAATGAGTCCCTCCATTACCTTTAAAGCCATCGAGAGCAGGGCTACCGAACGGTAGTTGTTTGGTAAGGTACGGTCTCCCGACTTGAATATAGAGGAGACAACACATGTCTTCCACTCGTTCGGGACCACGCAAATTCTCATAGAGCAGTTAAACAGTCTGCTTAGGGGTAGTGCTAACTGCTGTGAGCACTGCTGCAGTAGTATGAGTGGTATTTCATCAAGTTTCGGTGACTTTTTAGCTACGAGGCTTGCCAATTTTAGTCTTACCTGTACAGGGGAAAACGACACAGGTTCCGTGAGCCTGCTGGGTATGGAGTCTACTGCGGGAAGACCCCTTCCGTCTGTCCGGCTAACAAATTCTGGGCTGAATACCGTGGAGTATTAGACAGCCAGGGTGTTATCTGCAGCCTGGTTGCCATCCGTAAGGGATCCATCTGCACGACGGATGTCTGTCATCCCGGGTTTCGCCTGGGTCGCCATGGAGATGTCCCCATAGAAACTCCTCGGGTCCGCAATGACCCGGTTTAAGAACTGCCTCTGGTGCCCACTGGTGTCTTGCCTTCTTTGTAGGTTACATTGGTTGCGTAATTCAACGTAGGCCTCGTAATCCTGGGAGCTCTTGGACCATTGGTATTGGTTCTACGCGCATCCTTTCCGTGTCAAGGTCTTAATTGTACGGTGACGCAGTCGCTGTTTTGGTTTTAATAGTCGAACCTGTGTCCGTGGTACAAACCTACGCTAGTTGGTCGACTAATTGGGGTTCGTTGGTAAGAACCCAATCTAGCGCCGAGGGTCTCCACTTCCCTCGCGACCGGGTTGCTTGCCGGACGTGCTCGTACCACCTCATGTCTATCACCGTGTCAAGGAAGACTGAGGTTATTGACCCAGGTCCCACTTGGCAGGTCACCGTACTTAAGCAGATCTCCGGTAGATTGAAATTCCTCATTATCAGAACGTGGTGATAATTCAACCTCATTATGTGCTTTGGTGCGTTGATAACGGCAGAGTTCGTCGACTGCGAGCAATTCGGTGGCCTATAGAAAACACCTAGCAGGCAATATCTTTTGCCGTCTAGTTTTATGGCTGCTCAGAAGCTCTCAGGTACCCTTTTTAGTACAGGATCCATGATCTTCATAGACCTTAGTTTCCTACTGATGTAAATGCACAACCTACACCGATGACGTTTATACTGTTCTGTCGCAGGATGTCTAGCTCGGGAATTTCCGGTTCTGCGTCGGATATCTCCGAGTGAGCCCAGGTCTCCGTTACATCGACCAGTAGTGGACGGTGTTGGTCGACCTGGGGACGGAGCTCACAGAGCTTATTTAATAGGCTTTGGCTGTTGGTGTACATACAGCCCCATGACTCTACTATCATACTGTTTCTTGCTGCTGGCAGATTGTTTGTAGACAAATCGGAGAGACTGCTCGCCATTGCTGGAGTTTGTGTTGACGTCGATGGCTGTGCAGTTTCTAACCGGAAGCTGCAATGTGTGCTAACTTGGTTTAGACTGCCACCTCTGTTTGAGCTGACAGTGTCAAGTATTTTTCTCTGGAAATGGGAGCGCTGCTGTCAAAAGTGCTACCTGGCACAGTGGTTAGATGCAGGACTGGCTGTGCTTCCGTAAGTGCACTTGCATGCTTGGTCTCTTAGCCTTCAGTCCTTGGTCTTCCCCGATGAAGATTCAGGTCCGAGGGGAACATGTCTCTAAGAGGATGCCATTTCTTTAAGGTCTCTCGAGCCATGGATTCGGTGAGAAATGTGACTCTAAGTAGTGTGGGCTGCGATATGCGCATCAAGTGTGTTGGCCTAGGCAATCGGCCTGGGCCGCTGAGCACTAGTCCCCCAAGTTCGAGCTTGGAGGCTACATAGGTCCATTGGGGGAGGTCATGGTGTGAATTCTCTTGGCGGTTGCCTCCCGCAATTCGGGGACTCCGTGCAAGATAATGTCCTTTGCCCCGAATTGTGTTCTGTCTGGGCCCTTGGAACGCAATGGGCCCTTTCGGACGAACCTGGGTAGGTTTAGTTTTATGAGAACATCAGAGGATACGCCTAAGGATTTGCTGATGTGAGAAGTCTGCTTGTGTCACCCTCTGAGCCGAGAGTCACCTTAAGAAGCCCAGGGTGCTCTGCGAATATGCAGTTCTGGTTCCTCGCTAGTCGTCTGAGGCTTAGTGGTTTCAGCTCAGGGAGGGACATAGTGACACACAGTTGGTGTAAAACTGTGCCATCGTGGATGTCCCTCTCGGCCGGCGATGAAGAGCTGGATTCTGGTAGGTCAAATACTTTGACCGATCGGGTGCTAGGGCCAGTCTGTATGGGTCCGGGCGTAGCAGTGCCCTTGTGGTGCACGGCTTTTTACTCTGACGGGGGTTGCACCGTTGCCTTTTGCGCACCGTTTCGGTGTGCTGGCATGACCTTATCTTCTCTTGGTCCGGCACTTAGGGTGCCGATCAAACGATCGGTTTTTATCCCCACGCTGGTATTTTTCCCTTTGCTAATGGTCTTCTTACGACCCTCGAACAAATTAGTTTGAGTACCAGCCTCAGTAAATTCTGCCGCATTCTTAGTTCTGTCTCGCACTAGCTGTCTACAACCCAAACAGTACCACTGTTTGAACAAGTCAGACCTTGTCAAGATAGTGGGATCAGTCAGTCGTCAGCAATTGCAGGATGACCTGCGTAGAGAAACGAAATGGGTAACAGTATGGAACCCCCAGTGAATGCAGAGAAAAGTAATTTACTTTCCCGTGCTGATTTACCAATTTTCAATCCAACTAGGTGGAAGGGATTTCACTTCAGGGATTGTAAGAACCAACAGACTTAGAAATATTGGTGACGGCAGAGTTACGCTGAGAGAACCAGTGTGTACTGGCTGCGGCGAGGGCGAGGAGAGAGCTGTTCAGGCTCAAGTCGATACTGTCGTGTGGGTANGGTAACCCAACGTATTTCTCCCCATGCACAAAGCTATAAATAGGCCGCACTTGGAGTGTTGCGTGCAGGCTTGGGCACCCTTCTTCAAAAGGGATGCAGCCTGTTTAGTGGAAGTCCAAAGACTAGCCACTCGAATGATTGAAGGGTAAAGGGTAAGTCACACCAAGAGAAGCTAAAAGACTTGGGACTCCTCTCGCTAGAAAGGAAGAGGCCAAGGGGAGACTTACTGGAAACCTCTATAGTTATATACGGGAGTAAGGAAAGATAGCATGTTCCAGGAGGCTATCCATCAAGGAACTAGAGGAAATGGGAACAAACCAAATAAGCAGCGGTGCAACCTGAATGTTAGATCCAGATCCTTCAGCAGCAGAGTAGTGAACAGTTGGAATCGGTTGCCAAAGAAATTAGTAGATTTTAAAATTGTGACTTCATTTAGGGGATGAGCGATGGCTGGATCTCTTTCTAGAATAGGATCTTTAATGTACTATGGAACGCTTCCATGACCCATGTCCCTTGTTCGCTGATGGGGTGAAATAAAACGTGATATCTCACAGCTTATGATTCTACACAAGCTCTCAGCAAACATCCGAAAAACCACTAAAAGAGTTCACATAAAACAAGAAACTCTCGCCCTTAATAACCCTCACAAAATCTCCCTCATCTCACGTCTGATAAAAACCAGAAATATCCTTTCCCAACGTGATATCCCCTACTTGTCTCTACCTAAT